TTGAACAGTGAAACCGTGAAATCGAGAGATGAACAACACATTTCTTGGGCGAATGCTTTCATACAAAGCAGAACATATGGACCAGAATCCGGAACTCGTATTCCATTCGGAAAGAAATATTCTCTAATAGTGGCATAACTGCAGGACTTTTGCAATAGTTCTTTCATCTTCGTTTGATCGTCAGAAAACTGGAAGGGATCACGGGTGTCCAAGTAGAGCACCATATTGCGATCAGTCTGGGGATGAAATGCAATCAATATCCACTGCTTCGACGACGTCGAGACCGGAACAATTGTAGTTTGTCGATCTACTTTATAGCGTCTATTCACTTCACTCAAATGCCGGTCAAAAAATTCCTCTATCGTGACTGCTGGAGAAATGATAAAACCGTTTTGGAATTCGGCCATCCAAGATTGCGCAATCACGTCAATATCTTTGATAGTGTAACAATAATTCGTATTGTTTGCTTCGTTATATGCGTTTGCACCAGCTCGCTCATCATCGACTCGCTCAGTTTGGTCCGTTCGATCGTTGAACCCTGATGTCATGTAGATGTGCAACATTTTCTCATGTAGCAATGGCGTCCAGAATGATGGTCCAGTATTGTCCGGAATACTAGCCAGGAACAATTCTCTATCTGTACAGTCCATTTCTGAGCTGTCAAGTTGTGTGAAAAAGTTCAATAGCTCGTCCAAGCTGGTACCGGGTTCAACTTGTTCCAGAATGTCATAAAAGATATTCCGTTGATAAAATCGTCTAAATTGGTTCAGTTGCTCCACTGCTTCCTTGGTGCATTTTATTTGTTTGCTGTGCAAAATATCTTGTAACTTAGCCACGTGCAACTGAGACTCGTCTTTGCACACACGAAAATCCTTCCGGAAAAACCTATTCAACGCAAGTGGACTAGTTCGCAACAAGTAGAGCACTTCGTTTACAAAGCACAAATCCTCAACAAAGGTTTCCGAATCGGAAATAAACAATTGCATAACAATTTCAACTCGCCTCCGTGAAGAGTTCTCATTTTCATCAAACGACCTCTGCAATCCATCCAAGAGACTCGCCAATTCCGCCTCTTCCTCTAGATTCCTGTCGCGTGAATACAATTTCAGCATTACTGAAAATAGCAATCGATAGAGGTAATCGTTTTGGATCGTATCTTCCGCATCATCCAAATTCACTTGCAAACCAAGCGATTTGGTCAAACACAGTGCGTTTAACATCAAATACACATCGGCCTTGGGTGTACCACCTGCTCTAAATTTATAGAGTTGTTTCATTATTGATACGTCCTGGTTAATTTTTGCGTAGTATTGCAGTAGAAATGCAATGGCCCCCTCGGCAGTGCTGTCACACGACTCGCAGATTTTATCAGCACACGTAACCAAGAGTAGTCGAGGTAGATCAAGTGATTCGATTGAAAACGGTATCTGTGAAATAGGATACTTGTATATCAATGACTCTCCGAACATAGTGATAATTAACTTGCTGATATTCACTCTGTGTTGGAGCGACAGGGTGGCATCATTGACAAGTAGATAAAGATCACTCCGAGTTTCGTCAGGAAAGTTCTCGCAATCAATCAAACCTCCCGTTGCATCATACAATAGCAGATCAACAATACCTGGATACCGCATCAGCTCAATATTGTGCTTCACAACGTTCACAATCGGGAGAAGATTGATGCCCGGTTTTCTTCGAAAATTGCTTATCAATAAAAGATTACCAATTTCTTCAAAGTATTGCTGATTCGCCGTGTCGCCCAGTATTTTCGAACACAAATCAACTTCATGATCTGTCAGGGAAATATCATCACAATGGTGCTTCCAAAATTCGATGAAATCCACAACGTGATGCCCACTGAGTGTACCGTGAATTTCTTGTGCTTGCATCAAGATTAAACTTTGATCGTTACCGTTGAGCCAGTCGATTGGATCGACCTGCTGCGCAATATCGACCAGTCGTTGTCGTATTGAAGCGCGGTCCGTTCGAACAGCAACCCCGATCAAATCCTCCAATCTATGCGCAACGTGTTCTTTTCCATGCGGATCTTCGACCAGTTCACTCAACAAATTGAGCACATCTGTGTGATCGTCCTGATTGAACTGCAGCCGATCCAGTAGTAGACACACAAAAGGCTCCAGATTGGCACGCAAGTCCTTGCTCAAAAACAGTGCAATATCACTCACCGGAACCGAGCTGTGCTCGAGCTGTTCTGCTAACTGTGCAGTATCTACAAGAATATACGAGTTCTCTGTGTAGTTGGTTGGCAAAATGAGTGACAATATATTGAAGGCGTGAGGCGCCAGGTTCGTGTCGATTCTGATGACAGATTCTAAGTAGGAGATTATGGCAGAATTGTGTGAATGGGGTTGAAACAGGATCTGCGACAGGCACCGTTTCCGGTCGCATAAAGCTCCAGCTCCTCGATCTATACTGAACACCGAGAGGTTAATATGGAACATCGCTTCTTCTTCAACAAACATCCACCGGGAATTGTATGTTGCTGCTGGCGGTTGTGATGAATTTTCAAACAAAACGGTTGTACGATCACCATTTTCTTCCGTTAGTGCCTCGAACACTGAGTCCGGTAAACTGCTGACCAAATACTCGCAGAATACCTCCAGTCTGAGATTTACAACCCCAGATCCATGTAAAATCTCGTACTCCGGGTAGACAGTAGTCAACGTTTTCACGAATTGTGCAAAAAACTGCTGCAGCATTTCGTGATTGTCGTGAGTGAAACAGTTGGAAACTAAAATCGTATCATCACGGTACTCGAAACAGCAACCGATTGGAATCATCTCACTTGACTTGATAATGATTATATGGTCACATCCGTTCGGATTGCGCCGCAAGCAGCAACGTTCTATCAGTTCAGCCAACAGTCTGGCCGAGCCCAAAAGTGAGTAGTCGAACAGGACTTTTGGCGTGACAATGCCTACCTTGAGTAAACCGTCCGGATATCCCACCCGTGAGCCTTGATTCGGCATGCTCATAACGATTGACGAAAACGTTTGGGACTTTACGTAGACTTGATTTTCTCCGTGCCAGCGTATTCCGCGAGTGAAACAATCTGAAATGAAGGAAATCGTGCAAGGGAGTTTCAGTGTGACGATTATCATGCACCTGATTGAAAATTAACAATATTCCATTGATTAATTAAACATGTTCATAGTAATCTCATGGTAATTTACACTTTTCCGATTCTGAATACGGTATGGGGTAGTCCGTTTAACTAGAAATAGGAAGAGCTAACTGGTTGTTCTGTGTGGAGTGAACGTGTGTGGGTCAGCGGTGGGTAGAGTCCCGCAGAGGTCTGATAAAATGGTTTATGCTTGGTATCGAAAATTGAATCACATAAATCCGCACAGTCAAGCTCCAACCGAACTAGTACGCGGTGTGAAAGAAAACACCAGAATATTCAAAGTCGAATTATAGTGCCTGCCGTAATTGTACAAAGGAAATCGATCATGTAAAAAAACAAGAATGTTCAGTTTATACTAAATCACCACAGGACCCCATTTTGTTGCTCTTTTTCTGGTCACCCCACTCCACTCACGCACACACACACACACATACACAAATACTTCCGGGATCTCACCTTTGTCTTTGTGCATGATTTAAATGAATGTTTAACCGCGTCGATTCGACTTGAATGAGCTTCGTGAAATGCATCGTTTCAATGCTTTGGTCTTATACAAGCAAGCGTTGTTGTATGCATGCCACAGATCTGTCCTACCTTGTTATCCAGTCGAATCGGAGATGAAGCCACTCAAAGTCATCGAAGAATTTCCTCAGAAATCCACATTATTTGCTCTAAATCGTTACCGATGTACTTGTATTACTATAGTTACATCGGTCACACAGAGACGAGTATGTTCAAGAAGTCAAATGAAAATAATCCATTCATTCTTCGAAAGAGTACAGTGAGAATTTCGAACTTCCCAATCCCGCAAGGCTCGGGCAATAAAATGATTAGCAAGCCAAACCAGAAAAAGTGAAATCACAAAGGGATCTTGACAACTGTGCAATTCATTGCACTTCGGATAGTGAAACAGCAGCCGTTCAAGCAATGGAACCCTATTCAAGTACCTCAACGTTTTGCCCACGGAAGCGGTTTATCTCGCATATCTCGACAAATCGGTTCGGTTCTTGCCCAACGATCTCATTCACTGACTCTTTGATTGCAATCTCACCACTGTTCGATTCATTCTCGCCGTTTGCATAGGAAGCCGTCCAAAGATTATAACCCTGTTGCTTTTCCGTACCCATTTATCAGGACATCATCGCCGAACGTGTTGCACACACACACACATGCATACAATCATTCAATACCAATTGAGAAAGATGAACAATCTGCAAAGCAAGAAATCAATTAATTAATCGATCGATTGTTCAACCAATTAACCAAACAAACAAACAATCAATCAAATCAAATAGTTAATAAATCAATCCATTACTCAATCGATGTGAGCAAAGTGATCAATGTACCAGAAAGGAGCACTTAAGTTGCGACCGTGACTAGTGGTTATTCGCATTAGTCTGCTCCTGAATAGGGTCATATAATTTAATCTCCTCGTACGTGAGCCCCTTTAGTTATTTCATTCTACGTGCCTAGTGTGGAGAAAATTGCGAAAATTAGAACAGCCCGCCAACCAACCCCGGGGTTGAGCGCGAGTGTTAGAGACTGACTACTATGACATTACATAAATGACATCACCATCAACAGGGGGAGTAAACAGGTTTCAAAATTGAATAAAAATTATGTCACCATTTAATTGTTCAGTTACAAATTAGTTATGAGAATTTCACAACAATATTTCACATCACTTTCATTATTGGATGGTGAAGTTTTTGAAAATCTACACAAACTTCCTGTCGAAATAGCAGGGAGCTGTCATATTGTGATGGAAGGCAGTACAAAGAGAGTCCTGGTTAGCGACCGACGCAAGAATGGGGCCCATCCGACCAGACGCGCAGACGCAGCGGCGGGAAGTGCCTCGCGAGACAATGTTACTGCCCCCCGAAACGAGTGAATCGACAATTACAGCCCGAAAGACAATCCGCAGCTAACGAGAAAGATACCCACCGAATGCCACGTCGGAGCTGTCGATCAACGCTTCTCGCGCCGCGATCGGGTTAAACAAGTCGGAATGGCACGAGGAAGAAGAGGCAACGTACGTACCAAGTGCGGACCAAGACCAACAAGGAATGACCCACAGAAAGAGGCGTGAATCATCCCGCCGCGCGGTTGAGAATTGACTGTATATAATCGGACGCATATACTGTTTATTTTTGAATTGGATCAATAAACGTTTTCCCAGCCAGCTAGCCTTCTCGTTACAATATAAATGTGTGCAAATAGTTTCGATGTTTCCGTAATCGTACCTGATTTTCTTAATGAGATGCTGGGCAGATATAGTTAGTTGATTGTGTCAACTGGCACGGTGCATTGAGGCAATTGGGACAGGAAGAGATGCAAAAAATCTCGTGCCTCCTCAAAACCCAAACTGGAATGAGACTGATTGGGAAAATAGATATAGTTTCCACAGAATAACTGACGAAAACGATCGGGTAGAAGTTTATTAGAAAACTGGAAGACGTTATACTCACTGGTGTATGGATGCATTAAACTGGCTTGGATCGGTGAACAGACAAGAAGACAGAATTTATAATACAATTTTCTATGTGCTATATGTTTGTGGATGTGGGGAGTGGTTTGTGTGTGTGTGTGTGTGTATGTGTGTGATTGCAAGAATGTCAAATCAGTGATCGAAAGCGCACCAGATTGAGTGGCGACCAGTCTGCTCACAACACGACCCTAAACAACGAAGGTAAGTCCGAGTACGGTAACAAGAAAACCGTGAAGTAGGTGGAGGGGTTAGTATTCGTTAGGAATCTCTTAACTAACCAGTCAAGTGTGGCTGGATAAAAATGAGCTATCATGAGTTATCACTCCAATGCATGTGACCCGACTGCAAATCTCACTACGCGGTTGCGATAATCGGAATAGTACTGAATGTAGGAATACGAAAACCCGTACCGTAATGCTCAGAACTGAATTGGCTCAAACCCAGACTGCGGAATTGATAGCAGCAAATGCTTATTTTTATTGATAGAATTAGAGCATGTTTTATAGAAGGTATTAGGCCATACGATTGGTTGAAGGACCGTCCTCCAATCACGTAATCGTTTGAGCCGACACATCATATATACTAATTCCGATGTCATGTTTGCCTGGTGTACCATTGGCCGAGCTTCCTGGACGGTGATTGGATGACATGAAGCTGTACCTAGTCGTGCCTGGATTGCGGTCACGTAAGTCTGAATCACCACAACTCTCTTCCCTCAAGAGTGCCTCGTCAATCTGGCTCGCCTGACGGCTAGAACAGGGATATCTTCGGGCTGTACGTAAATGTCGACATCCAATGCTATCGAGCCAAGCTTTCATTTCAGTGGAACTGAATTGAGATCCATTGTCTGTGACGAGCACTTGCGGTATACCTTCCCGACTGAAGCACTTCCGAAGCGCCTGGATCACGAAGGATGTTGTTGGTATACTTGTCAGGAATACTTCGGGCCACTTTGGGTACTTTGTGCAGATACGCCTCAAAATGCTTTGCAGTTGTGCAAATGTCTGCATCCAAATCAGGCCACCAACACATTTGCCGAGACAGAGATTTCATCTCCTCCACTCCCAAATGGCCTTTGTGGAGGTCCTCCAAGACTGCTTTTCGGAGCGGCAAAGGTACGATCGGTTGATCGGCGCGGCAGAGCACACCGTCTGGCTGTACAGCCAACTCCTCCCGATGGATGTAGAACTGAGGATGTCTCTTCTTTATATCAGGAGGCCATCTTTTCGATAGGGCCGAAGTAATCATTGAGTAGTATTGTTTTGTAAATCTTTTCAACGCTTCCTCCGAAACCGGCAATGGTTGGGTGACAAAATTACATTTCTCTGGGGCGCCAAACCGTGAGTACCTGGATAGGAAGTCTGCCTGTGGAATCGTCTTGCCTGGTCGATAATATAATATCATGATTGTACGCTGCCAGTGCAATACTCCATCGTTGAATCGTGGCGGGGGTTGCGTTAGCGACAGCCTGATGATCCGTCACAATAGTAAAATGCAGTCCAAATAAATACTTGTGCAGTCTTCGGACAGCCGAAAACACCACCAAGGCTTCTTTCAGGATCTGTAAGTACCCCTTTCTCCACATGGTTGAGCAATCGAGAAATACAAATAACAGAAAGCCCTTCTTGCTCCATCACTGCGCCAATGCCCAAGTAGAACGTATCTGTCACCAGTGTAATCCATTTTGATAGGGAAAATGAGGCCGGGATTGGATGTTTAGTAATTTTTCGTATCAATTGGTAAAGGGTTCTTTCGCAGTCCACTGTCCATTTCCAGTCTGCTGCGGATTGCGCGACAAACAAGGGTTGGGCCCTGGTGGTAAAACTAGGAATAAATCGTGCATAATACTGAAGGTATCCCATAATCGATCGTAGATGATTTTGATCTTTCGAGGATTTGATATCCACTAGAAGCTTGAATAGGTTAGGGTCCGGTTGATATACTTTGGAACAAACAGTGAATCCGAGGAGCTCCAACTCCGTTATTCCAAACATGCATTTAGATGGTTTGATGCACACATTTTTCTCCATGAACCGTTCAAGAAATTTCATCAAATTGTTATCATGAACTTCTTTCCTTGTTCCAAACACAATCACATCGTCTTGATATGCCATAACACCGAGTAACCTAGACACAAAATTGTCTGCTATGGACTGAAAGATTTTGGATGATACATGCAAACCGAACGGTAGGAAATTGTACTGGAACAATCTTCAATCTTTTTCTGGAGATTCGTATTGTTAATGCCTTTAATAAGGCTGCTACAGTCTGTCTCCATTATTGCACTTGGAAGCCTGTTTGTTCAGCAACAGGATGAAATCTCGAAAGGGCACTGACGAATTGAATTTCGCCCTCTCAGTAGC